TTTCTGCCGCTTTGGACCAAACTGAAGGGAGGAATCTGTCCTTTCAGATGACGGCTCTCCACTCCGGTGGGTCCTGATGAGCAGTATTTCAAGCAGACGTTTGAAAAGCTGCTACACGGAACATTTCTCCATCGTTCTGGTAGAAAGAAAAAGCAAAGCAATATGCTCTGTTTGTCTAAGTCTGCATAGAAATGAAACTGACTTAAGGCGAAGCAACCAGTAAACCGTCCGGATTCCTATAAACAGACGGTGCTTTTAAAGGAGTCATATTATACCCTATTTCAACAAGTTAAACCAGTTCCCTGGTGTCCTAATGTAATGTCTGTGACAAGCTTTGGTCAAAATCCCATAAGGATGAAGCCCAATAGCAGTTCAGTCCCCCTGCCTAACCCTAACCCTAACCCTAACCCAAAACAGCCCCGTTCAGAGCGCTCGCTTTGGAGTGCCTGTCTCTTTAAATGCAAATGAGACACAGGCAATCCACCCACTTCTTCCGGGAGGTGTGCCCACGTTGGCACGCTAACGCTACCACGCTAACGCTACCATGCTAACGCTACCATGCTAACGCTCACGCTACCAGGACGTCTCCACAGATAGGGGAGTAAGCTGAGGGGGGGCAACATGCAGGTGAAAGGCTGGAATATTATAATGAGCTAGAGCTAATGAGGTCAGAAACTACCCACTCCTGAAACCTCCTGATTTATCTCCTGGATTCAGACTGAGGCAGCCCACAAAAACATGACCCAGTCATTTTTTTTCACACTTTGCCTGCTTATAGGCCCTCCACAGTCCCAAATGTACATGATCAAATGATTAAAAACTTGGTTTTGCATAGTATGTCCCCTTTAAGTAGTTCTGATCAGCGGGGTGAGAGATTTGGGTGAATCTGGCTCTGATATTCTGCAGTAAGTCCACAGAACATGAACTCAGAAGACCGTACAGCTGACAGGATCCGGTCCAATCTGATCTGTGTGGAGTATCTGAGCGGAAACATCACAATAAAGACGTCTTTGTTGCTTCCTCCGCAGAAAATTTGTCGCCTGTCTATTCTCATTCGGCTCATTTTCATACATCCTGAAGAAGAAGCGACGCCTTCTGTCTAATCCTCTTGTTTTGTTCTCCTCAAAATTAAAATTCCAGATGTCAAAGTTTATCCGCCTGTGAATAAAATGAGAAACATTTAGCTAGCTGTGGCTTTGGCTTGTTAGTTAATGAGGAAGCCTCTCAGTGGGTTTATGAGGTGCATTTCCTGTTTGGAATAATCAAACTAAACTCATTTTAAAATAAAAAAAATCAGTAAGGATGCCCCCCCTGTCTTCCAGGTCCTGGGAAGGCGGAGTCTGTCCGGGCGGTCGATGTCCTGACGGTGCTCAGAGAGAAAGTGGCCTTTGTGTCAGGTAAGCCTCCAGGAATGTGCATTAGGCCTGAGCCTCAGCCGGTCAGCTAACCGGTCAGTGTCTCCCCCAGGTGGACGGGACAAGCGAGGGGGGCCCATCCTCACCTTTCCTGCCAGGACCAATCACGATCGAATAAAACAGGAGGACCTCAGCCGCCTGGTGACATACCTATCCACCATCCCCAGGTAGGTAGCGCCTCCCCACAGAACAAGAAAAGGGTTAAGATTATGTTTTTAAATTTTTTTTATCCCAAAATGTATTTATTTTCTCTCTTTTAGTTTTTTAAAAAGTGTTTCCCACATTGCTTGCTTGCTTTTGGCCATGCTATTGCCTTTTTGGCCATGGTATTACCTTTTTGGCTATGCTATTACCTTTTTGACTATGCTATTACCTTTTCGGCTATGCTATTACCTTTTGACTATGCTATTACCTTTTTGAGTATGCTATTACCTTTTTGGCTATGCTATTACCTTTTTGGCTATGCTATTACCCTTTTGGCTATGCTATTACCTTTTCGGCTATGCTATTACCTTTTTGGCTATGCTATTACCTTTTTGACTATGCTATTACCTTTTTGGTCACGCTATTACCTTTTTGGCCATGCTTTTACCTTTTTTACTATGCTATTACCTTTTTGGGTATGCTATTACCTTTTCGGCTATGCTATTACCTTTTTGGCTATGCTATTACCTTTTTGGCTATGCTATTACCTTTTCGGCTATGCTATTACCTTCTTGGCTATGACATATTATGACTATTTATGACACTATGAATTGGGGATGATTCATTACGTTTACATATCAGTAACGAGTAACGACTCAGCCTCTGAAAGTAAAAGTAAAAGTATTAAATTAATCAAAAATATGTAGTGGAGTAAAATTAAAAGTAAGAAAAAATATATACTCCAATAAAGTACAGATACTGCATTTTGGTACTTAACCTTAACTTTTAAAGCCTGATCCAAGAATAAAACAAAGCAGAAAATTACTTGTTTTGGTTTGAATTCCTTATTTGGCCTTTTAACAAAATATGTAAAAAGAAAAAACAAAAATGAAATTTTAATAATTTATTACTATGCGATAAGTCAAGATTATTTTTTTAACCCTAATTTTTTCGTTATCAGGTGTATCTGATTGTGTACAATAGGACTTTGAGCAAAGTTTTTACCATTAAATTATGCAAAAGGAGTCAGACGCAAAACATTTCAGAAACTGTATGTATCAAACATGATACATTTGGCATTACAGGGTTAAGTACAGTACTTACTGAACATCTGTGGTATTCCCCAAACTGAAACAAGTGTCCCGTTTCAGCGAGGACGTGCGTGCGCGCGGCTTCACGGTGGTGGTGGACATGCGCGGCAGTAAGTGGGACAGCGTGAAGCCGGTGCTGCGCACCCTGCAGGAGTCCTTCTCCTCCAGCATCCACAGCGCCCTGCTCATCAAGCCCGACACCTTCTGGCAGAAGCACAAGACCAACCTGGGCAGCGCCAAGCTCAGCTTCGAGGTAGGAGGGGAGCACCCCCCCCCCCGGGGTCCAGATCTGCCCCCCCCAGGGCTCCAGGCCAGGGCCATTGGAAAGACCTATGAGCCTATAGGCCTGTTTAAAATACAATAAATGCAAATAAATAAATAGATTGAGATTCACTACTATACTGTCATATACACTTCAGTGTATATTATAATATAACATATATATAATATATATATAATAATATATAAAATATATTATATATAATTTATATATCGTATATATAATATTATTATATAATATCGATTACATATAATAATATAATATATAATAATATAATATTATTAATTATTATATTATTATAAATCATTAACTTGTGGTAATTAGGCCTCAAAACAATTAAATTAAAATCCAAAAACATGTAATAGTAAAGTAAAAAAAAAAGTCCAAATCATTTCTCAAAATATTCATGAGAAATTTATAAATTTTTAATTGAAGTATTTGTAAAACATTTTTAAAAAATCTCCACCCCACCACCAGGGGGTGCTGCAGCGCCCCCAGCACCCCCTTCCTGCTGTAAGAGCTGTGTGTCTGCAGACCAGCCTGGTGTCCGTGGAGGGCCTGTCCCGATTGGTGGACCCCTCCCAGCTGACCTCTGACCTGGGCGGGTCCCTGGAGTACGACCATGTGGAGTGGACCGAGCTGCGCCTGGGCCTGGAGGAGTTCTCAGGGGCGGCCTCCCAGCTGCTGGCCCAGCTGGAGCAGCTGGAGGCCGGGCTGAGCCGGGTACCCGAGCCCCAGGATATGGACGAGGCCCGCAAGTGAGTGTTCCCTCACTAACCCTAACCCTGACCCTAACCCGACTAACCCTAACCCCACTAACCCTAACTAAACTTTACTGTCTGTACGAAATCGGAAGAAAAACAATGTCCTAACCTTAACCCTGACCCTAAACCTGACCCTAACCCTAACCCTGACCCTGATCCTAACCCTAATCCTGACCCTAACCCTAACCCTAAACCTACTAACCCTGACCCTAACCTTGACCCTAACCCTGACCCGTCATAATTGTGAGAAATAAATATTTTTTGGTACAAACCTTTGCACAATATACTAACATTTAATCAGTTTTCAGCTTCTAAAGGGGACGACCATCACACAGAGTGTTAATCTCTGTGCGTTACCTTCCTGTTTCCCATCTCAGGCTCCTGGAGGAGCACGGCCGGCTGCGGAACGCCATCGCCACGGCGCCCGTGGACGCCCTGGACCGGGAGGGGCGGAGCCTATTGCAGCGCATGCGCCTAGGCCCCTCCCACGGCGACGCCCCCAGCGAGGGGGGGGGCGGCGGCGGCGGGGGGGGCACCTGGCTGTCGGGCGGCGCCGACTTCCAGAGCGTGGCGCCGAAGGTGTCGTCGCTGCTGGAGCGGCTGCAGGCCGGGCGCGGCCACCTGCTGCAGACCTGCGCCGACCGCAAGCTGCACCTGGACCAGGCGCTGCAGCTGCACCTGTTCCAGCAGGACGCCGCCAAGGTGAGGGCCGCCGCCGGACAGGTGAGGGGCCGCCCAGGTGAGGGGCGGCCAGGTGAGGGCCGCTCAGGTTAGGGCCGCCAAGGTGAGGGGTGCCCAGGTGAGGGGCGCCCAGGTGAGGGTCGGCCAGGTGAGGGCCGCCCAGGTGAGGGCCGCCCAGGTGAGGGGCGGCCAGGTGAGGGGCCGCCCAGGTGAGGGGCGCCCAGGTGAGGGCCGCCCAGGTGAGGGGCGCCCAGGTGAGGGCTGCCCAGAAAACAATATATTTATTGAGTGTGGGAAAAAGGCTGTAAACAGGATTGTACGGTAGCCCAAAGGGGACACACAGGAAATTAGTCTTTTTAAAAAACATTGAGAAAGAAATGTGAATAAAACGCAGCTTAGAGGTAATAAACCTCAAAATATCCATTCCTGGATGAAGGGCCGCCCAGGTGAGGGCACCGGCCGCCCAGGTGAGGGCTGGCCATGTTAGGGCCGCCCAGGTGAGGGCCCCCCCAGGGGAGGGCCGTGAACAGCCTCTGGCTGCAGTCTGCAGGAGCCTCGGTTGGATATCCGACTCCTCCCATATCCAAGTCGGACATTTTCATTAGGTCATGTGACTACCAGCTTTCTGAGGTGGAAACTAAACTTTACTGTCAATACGAAATCAGAAGACAAACGATGTCCTAACCAAAACCCTAACCATAACACTGACCCTAACCCTAACCCTTCATAATTGTGAGAAATAATTATTTGTTGGTTAAACTTGTTTGGACTTATTGTACATACCTAACATCCACT